TCGAGTTTCTCCAGTTTTCTGGATGCCATGGTTTCCACACCTCTAACCACCCAAGTTACCCTTCTCTGGATTCTAGCCTGTATTCAAAAAAAATTCTCCCTCATTACATTATGAAACTCTTCAAACACAGAGAAAAATTGAAAGAATTGTACAGTAGAGTAACCCATGCACCCAACCACCTAGTTTTTTAAATTAACTTTTAGTATAGTATTTGCTTTATCACTCAGCCCTCCATGTCTCTCTCTAGCTATAAATCCATGTGTGTGTGGCTTTTTATTTATTTATTTGATGTGTTTCAGAGTGAATTGTAGATATCAGTATGCTTTAACTCTAACATTTCAGCATGCGTATCATGAATTAGAGCTCAATATTTGATTATAATTTCTCTTTTTAGGTAAATTTATATTGAGTTGTGTTACACAAATCTTAAGTGTTCCACTCAATGAGTTTTGACGTGCTTACACCTGTGTAACCCAAACATATGTACAGAATTGTCATCTCAGAAAGTTTCCTTATGCCCCTTCCAAGTTAGTCCCTACACCATTCCCCTAGAACCGCTGTTCTGATTTTTTTCCATCACAGATTAGATTTGCCTGTTTCATGACTTCATATAAATTGACTCATACAGGATGTATGTGCTCTGTTGTATAAGGGTTTTTTCACTCAGACTAGTATTTTTGAGATTCATCCATATTGCATGTATCATTAATCTGTTCTCTTTTACTGCTGACTAGGATTCCATGCATAAATATACCAGTTTGTTGATCTATTTTTTTATCCCCAGGTATTGATGGAATTCTGGGCTCTTTCTGATTTTTGGCTACCTTGGATAAGGCTGCTCTCAACTTTTTTGTTCAAGCTTTTGTAGATGGCTGTTTTACTTCTCTTGGGTCAGCTATCTAAGAGAGGTCATAGGATAGATGTATGTTCAGTTTTATAAGAAATTGCGAGACCTTTTACCAAAGTGGCTTTCCATTTTCCACCCTCATTAGAATTCCAGTTGCTCTGTGTCCTCATTAGCATTTGGATTTTAACCTTTTAATGCCCTCTGGGCAGGGCCCGCATAGACATGACTGCAGTTCCCTGGATGCCTTCTGGCTTTGCTCTGGTCCTATGGGCTGCCTGACTTCCCGTGAGCGCTGCTTTGGAGCAGCTGTGTCATACTGAGCTTAAGGTCAACCAAAACATCCTGGTTTTTTTCACATTAATTGGTTTTGAGCCATGTCACCTTTTTGTGTACTTAAGAAACTATTTATTTA